ACAGCAGGACAAGTGACCTTTCGGATAGCAGATTAAACAATGTACCATCCAAAAAAACAATGCAAGCGCAAGCAAAGATTAACACCACAAGCTAACGAGCTCAAAAGGATGGCGTCGAATATGAAGACTAGAGTGCGTTCCACTGCACCAATTTATAGAAAAAGAGGGTTCAACTCAGTCCTCTCTTACAACCAAAGTGAACACTAAAATGATACATGTGAAAACTACACTATGAACAGACAAAAATACTGTCAAAGTGTTACCACCCATGAAAATCAACTGGAGAGGAATTTTAATCCAGCTGATAAAGTTTAAGAATGGAGTGTTTATATTGGGAACTCGTATTAACCTCCCTCGCATGGTACAGCATGAGAAGCTAAGTCAATTCCCACAAAACCACATTGATCACACATCACAGTTAACGAGACCTAAATGAACAACACAATACTTACTTGCGGCAAATCATTTTGTCTTGGTTGTATTTTCGAGCCAACGCCATTAGAGATGGTTCAATGATACCTCCTCTAAGCCTCAACACAAGATGTAAAGTCGACTCTGTTTAAGAAACAACCGATTGAAGAAATGATCGATTAGGCATCTGTTACAGGAGCTTTCAACACATAAAAGATCTCAAATCGAAATCTTCCAATAATATCAACCAATTCCAAGTTATGAGTCAAACCCAAGTCAGATTTCAGATCAACGAGACGAACCCATTGAAACAATAGGAAATTTCCATGAACATATAACTAAATTAATACAACAAAAACAGCGATACAAGTTTTTTTTACCTTTCTGAATGTTGTAGTCAGCCAAGGTACGACCATCCTCAAGTTGTTTTCCGGCGAAGATCAACCGTTGCTGGTCCGGAGGAATTCCTGTCGGAGAAACACAAACAATAAGAGATTGGAATCCAAAATCTCTATGGAGGCGGATAACAAGTATAGTTCTTCGAGAGAAAGAAAGTGCTACCTTCTTTGTCTTGAATCTTCGCTTTGACATTGTCGATGGTGTCGCTACTCTCGACCTCGAGAGTGATGGTTTTCCCGGTTAGGGTTTTCACAAAGATCTGCATCTTGTCCGTCGTCTGAAAATGTATGGACTACGTAACAGGCGATGAGAAAAGAGGGGTTTTTATAAACGTTGCATTTCTAGGGTTTTGATAGGGACCTGATTTATTGGGCTTTATGAGTTGGGCCTCACTTCAACAAAAGCCCACAATAAAAAATAAGCTTCATCAATCGTAGTTTTCGTATTATTTAAAAAAAAAATTTAATTATACGAAACAGTTGTTGGTTTGGACAAGACAAATCAGCACAATGATGAAGAGAACTCAAATGAAAGCCACCATCTATAACCTTTTAAAGCTTATTTGGGATAACCATATAATATACAAACGCTCAACACAATTTGCGCCAAAGAAAATACGATTTAGCTTTACGACAATCATGAACCATTCCGGCTCTAATTCATGAACCAAGTTTGACGATCTGGATTGGACCGGACCAAACCGGCTCTTTTTACGCCGTTCATGCACAGCCAACAAGACAAAAGCAAAACAGACAACGCTACTAGACAAAGCACGGAACTGAATGAACTCTTTTAAACTAAGAAACTCCAAAACTTTGGCAACATTCGGTTCAAGGGCAAAGGAAACACAGTTTCTAATATAAAGGGAGTCCACACCATAAAAAACTGAGCAAGAGAAACACAGAAGAAGAATCACAGCCTCCTTCCCCTTCTACCACCCTTTCTGCGGGTACTGTCGGTCGGGATGGGGGTCACATCCTCTGCGAAAAACAAGAACGGGATAGTTTCAGAAGATGGCATTTTCGTACGATCGATTCTCGGATAATGTAATGATCATATGCTTACCGATACGACCGACTTTCATGCCAGAACGGGCAAGAGCTCTGAGGGCGGATTGAGCACCGGGACCAGGGGTCTTGGTCTTGTTCCCACCAGTGGCACGGAGCTTCACATGTAGGGCAGTGATGCCGAGCTCCTATGTTTTAATGTCACTTGCAGATTGTTAAAACAAAGAATATGAAGGAGACAATCAGTATGGAGTTAAGTGTTGGATGTAGTGATTAACCTTGCATCGCTGAGCAACATCTTGAGCAGCAAGCATAGCTGCATAGGGTGAAGATTCATCCCTGTCGGCTTTCACCTTCATTCCACCTACAGAAGTTGCAAAAAAAAGCACAAAAGAACAAAAAAAACATTTAGTTACCTATTATGTTACTAGCAAAGAAATTGTGAGGAATTCCATGTATGTAGATATATATATGTGTATGTATATACAATACAAAAAAAGGGTAAATGCATGTGTATTCTTGTATTATACAAGTCTGAGATGTCAACAGTAAATACAGCAACAAAAGTATATGTTCATGTTCTATATTGCATGTAAGCAATCCACAGCACAACTACAACGGATATAAAAGAAAGCGACAGCCTCAAAGAACTGAATATCAGTTTCAGAAAGATGATGTCATAAACATTAAACAGAGAATGGCCGCTAGGTTCTTAATCAACTTCCAAAAACAAGTCACCGAAACAACAAACAGATTTCCAAATTCTATGATACCGAAAACCCCATAATTTTCATATGCCAGAACTCAAAAGAACCACTAAGGGTGTCTGTACAAGACATTTACCGGTTATACGAACAAGGGTTTCCCGTCCAGACAAATCAGTCACATGCTGCCATTAGAGAAAAAAAAAACATACTTTTAGCGTTCTGTGTGATGATGGCATCATTTAGTCACAAGAATTGATCGTGTACTTACGATAAAAGTGTCGTTGAATGAGGCGAAGATATGAACAACTCCAAAAACTTGCTCTCCCTCACGGACTGCAGGTCCAAGAGTGACATTCTCCTCCTTGGGCTCTCTGGTCTTTCTTCTCGACTGCACAAAGATTGAGAAACAGTGAACAATAATTCCAAGGACAGGAAAAAAAATGACTGGAGAGTCAGAAATTATGTCCAAAACGAAACCCGACAACAATCACAAGCAGAACGTTGGTATGAACTATGAAGAACAACAGAAACTCGATGCACAATATATGATAAGATCAAAGGGATACAACAAAAAATACATAAGCTCGTTGGAGATTTAACGGTTACGCCAGAAAAAATGCAGACCCTGGTGAAAGAAAAAGAAGAAGGGAGGTCTATCTCTCTCTCTGCAATTTATCCTGGCTTTTCTCGATCTTACCGTTCAATGTAACAACATTGAAGTCAGAACCGAAGATCTGAGAGAAAATTCCTCGACTACCAAAAAATTCACACCGATTCAGCACCCAAATATAGATTCCCACAGAAAATTTCAGAAAAAAAAACTATACAGTTATCAGAACAGAAAATACAAAATCGCCCACTAGACAAGTTCAGATTTCCGTAGCAAGCCAGATGAACAGGAAGTCCAAAATCCTCTAAATCACGAAATTCACGTAAAGAAAAACAAAATTTCACGCAGACGAAGCTTACCATGTTTTCCGAGCAGACGATGTACAGAAGAGGAAGCTAGGGTTTCAGAGGTTTCTTCCTCCCGCGGCTTCGCCTACACAGTTTATGGCTGGGGAGAAGATATGTGGAGTACCAGAAATTGCTTTTATAACTAGGGTTTCATGAGAGACTAGGGTTTCACAACAATTTAATAACATTATGGGCCTAAAAGCAAAAGAAAAGCCCAATACATATTGGGCCGAATATAGGCCCATCTATGGAACCGGACGGAATCCCCGAATATAGAGTGAACGACAATGTACGAAAATATCAGAAAACACTAATAAATATTTTTTTTTGTTAACGGTAATTTATATTGCTTTTGTTTAAAATAATTTCCATTGTAATTTGGTTTCAAATAGGTATACGTACAATAGAACCTTCCAAATTGAACCAAACTCTTAACCACAACGGGTTCGTGTAATTCGGTACCGATATAATTTCGAATAAACCGTAACTAAATAGAAAACCGATACAATCGAACTGAAAAATGAATCAAATTGTCTAGACTCGTACCGTAACAACCATTTAATTTGCATATTTTTTCAGCTTAAATACGAATACTATATAAAAAGGGTGAGAAAATGAATAATAATAATAAATCATAATAATAAACTATTGCGAATAATTTGGTACTGTATTTATAAGCTCTTTGGGGTCTAGATCGATATGCTATGGGTTAGAAGAAGAGGTAAAAACAAACCCTAAAAAATATCAAAATATCATATGAAATGTAATTGAGAAAATGCTCAAAATCTAAAGAAGGTTGTCTTAATAATTAGGATATAATAATAAGTACATGACACTGTATAAATATATATAAATGGGCATCTAAAGTATGTTAGAATTTGAATTGAAAAGTATTCTTGTAATTTTAAAGACATGTCCATGTGTGATACATTGTTCTTGGCCTAACTCTTAACAGGAAAAAAATCTTGATCAAATTTAAGTTCAGTACAATGAACTTGTCCAAAGAATCTGAAACCTCCCTTTTTTTTATTATTTTGTTCGATCTTAATCCAGACGTCTCAGGTCCCTCCCTATAATCACACTAAGATTTCTCTTTTAATTCTTGTTTTAATTTCATTAAAAATGATATTATACACGTGTATTAATTTATACACATGCACGTAACAAATATATATGTGGATATACGTATCAACCGTCCATGCTATAAGTCCAGATTCATAGTTGGTAAATTAGAAATAGATCTATTTATGACGTGTTATTGGGATCATAAATCTGTATTTGCCAAAAGAAACAAACGAGAAAAAGCCGACACATTAGCATATGATTTTTTTATTTTACTATGCAACAAAATCCTATCTCTTATAGGGGAAAAATAAAAAATATCTCTCCTAAAATTTCACGTTCTTGGAATTTGGGTGTAAAAAAAAATCAAATCTCCTTTGATCAATCCTCGACACAAGATTTGTTTGTGATGTCATATTCAAATGTATCAGAAAATATTTTGGTGGATTTTATTTAATCAATATAATTATACAACGCACATAATAGAAAATCTTATGTTAAATCCTAAATATATATAATTATAGTAGTGCTTTTTTAATAATGGTGAAGTTTTTTTACTGCAAACAATCATATACAAATTGTGACTGTAACTTCTTGAAATGTCTGACGCAAATTCCTTTCTTCCTTTTAAAATTTATGTTCTTTGTGGTTGTGAGCAGATATTGTTGCAAATTATGGTATATTATATTTTTTATTCAACGAGATAAATTTCCAGTCTATGAAAATAATGTGGTCCGCTAACAAAGTGTTATCGTCATATTATTTATGGCATATACATATAATTTAATTAATGTGCATTTATACGTGAAGTAAGTTAGCTCCCGTTGTTCAGTGCACACTCGATGACTTTCCCGCTAAGATTATATATACATACTTTATAGCAGAGGTGGACATTTCGATATTTGGATCGGACTCTATTTGGAAATATTTTAGTTATTTTTTCAGTTCTATAAAAATATGATCAATAAGTTAATATTTTAATTAAAAAAAGTTAGATCATTTTAAAAAAATTATTTTTCAGATTTTTTTTTAAAATCGATTTGATTTGATTGACTTCAAAAAACGGTTTTCTAAAAAATACCATTTAAAAATTCTGAACGATTGAATTAGAAAAATATCGTATTTTTTTATTCGATATGGTTTGGCTAGATTTAGAAAAATCGTATCAAAATATCCATCTATATTATAGAGATATTATATGTTTCCTCTGTTTCAAAATATTTATTGTTTTAGATTATGTCACATGTTTTTAAATATTTATCATTCTATATTTTCAAAATATTTTGTATAGTAGTAATTTCTAATTTTATCCCTATTAAATTCTAAGAAATTGTTAATGATAATATTTATTATCATCAATAAAAATATTAAATAAAAATATTTATGATTTTTCTCTTTTTTAAAAAAATATGAAATAATCGATAATTATAAATATTTTGAAACGGAGCAACGATTTACTTTTAAAATCTAGGGTTCGTGGAACAGGGACATTGATGTCAGGCGGAAAAGCGTTTTGCCTGAACGAATCTACTTGGAAATTGAGGAAGTTTCACGAAATTCAAGGAAAATTTATCATTATCACGCTAAATATACAATATACATACACACGGTCCATAATTTGTTTTGTGAATGAAAAATGTGCATTAATTAAATTAAACAGTTACGAGTGAATTTCAAGTCATTTAGAAACATGTACGACGTCATATGTGGAAAAAAAATTCCCTATATTTGAAAAAAAAAATTGAGATTTAAAATAAATGCAACTCATTCACAAATCATTTATGCTAAATTATAAAAAAAAAGGTAATGTATTATTTTGGTTTTTATTTTATCTCAAATATACGGCCAAAACTAGTAATAAAAATATGTCAGGAGGAAAAAGATAGAAAAGAGACACTGGAAGACATTGAGAGAGAGAGAGAGATGGTATACATACATATAAATACTACGTAGACATATACATATACATATACATATACATATACATACATATATAATATACGGTCCATAAAATAATCTATTTGTGGGATGGGAATGTGAGGAGAGGATTGAAACACGACTGAACAGAACAAAGACCAAACAGACAATTTGACAAATCTTATCTCTATCCACAGCTAAAGACAAATGATATGTGTTTTTTTTCCTCTTCTACGTTTATTCTATTTATTAATTTTTATATGCTACATAATTTTCTCGATTAATATATATATATATATATTAATAAATTAAATTAGATAAGGGACACAATGACAGTATCGTGCACGTGATGAAAATAATAAAATTTGAGGAAAAGCTGGACACAGAACTATTCTTCTTTCTCAAGAGAAAACAGTCTATTTTCTACTCTGCTCCATGCATATGAATCTCCTCTATCGCTTTTTGTTTTTCACATTTGCAATTTATTTTTATATATTCATTTATCGTTTTTGTTATTTAGATGGCAACACCCTCATCTGATTTTTTATATACTTAGTTGAAAAACTTCTGTGATAAATGAAAGCTTTTTTTGTGATAAATGAAAACTTTGATCTAGTAATTTTATTTTTTATTTTTTAAAAGTATGGGTGAATCATTTAGCTATTTTCATAAGGTTTTTTTTACACTTTTATTTTTTATATTTCATTTCGGTTTGAACTAGATATTTATTAAAAACTTAATTTTTCGAAAAATTTTGTTGTATTACATTTTTCGATTACTTTTTTATTCTATTTGAATATGATTAATTTAATTTTAAAGATTTATTTTATTTGTATTCCGTTAATTCCGAAAAGTACATGTGATTACTACACGTAAATAATTGACAAGAGTGATCTCACACTAAATAGTTACCATTTTTCTTTATTTTAGACTTAACGAAACTAAATAGTAAAATTTAATCCAAATTTGGTTAGTTAATCGGTTAAACGGGATGCAAAACATTTGTTCTGTCCCGAATTCGAACTTTAAATTTAGGAGATGTATATTCCAAACCACATGCTTGATCTCCAACTATGAGATTAGTATAAATTTTCGTACAACACGTTCGCTAAACCAAAAAAAAAAAGTGAAATTTATATATAAATCAAGGTTGTGCAAGAATTAGACAGATAATTTTGTTGCTAAGAATTTGTGCCGGGAACCTTAAGAAATTTGATTTCACAAATTAGCATATGCATATAAAATTATTTTGTAGAGAATATACGATCAAATTTCGTAGTAAATATCCTTAATCAAAATTTGGAAAACAGTACACTATTCCATATAAAATTATTACAGAACAAAAAACATCTTAAACATATTGGTCCCAAAACTAAAATGCATAGTTGCATTTGCGTATCTTGTGCAGAATGCTGGTAAGCAAAGCATGGTGGAATACGATAAAATTTTGCCTAATACGACAAATTACAGCATACACGCATGCATGATGTATAGACATCACACTGTAGACATGCATATATAATTGCATATATATATATACAACGCATGAATCAGTTAGTTCAAAATTATATTATATAAAAAATTCAAATTGTACGGAAGACCGCCATACGATGATATATATATATATGTGGGTGTATTAAAGGTTATTAGAAATTAACTAGGTTAGATGTGAAATCAAGGCGCAAATATTGGAGTTAAATTTTGTCTGAAGAGTAACCCTTTCCATGTACCTTCCTTTTGATTAGAGAGATTCCAAAGATTAGTCAACTTCCACAAATCTAATTGAGCCAATTAATTCGTCATATTTACTTTGTTTTTATTAATCAAATATTTTTATACATATAATATTTTATTGAAATATTGAATTCAATCTGTTTTTCTCAAATTCCACGCACCGTATAAGGTTACATCTGTAAAAAAAAACCCTGTAATAGATATAAACTGTTAAGTGAAATTATATATATATAGCTCCACGCATATCATATATATACACGGGGTATTTAATACCCTCTCTCTCTCTCTCTCTCTCTCTCCCCTAACTCACATAATTGAAATGTCAATAAACCGATAAAAGACAAACTGTTGAGTGAAAATATATATATATATATATATATATATATATATATATATTATTTAGTTCA